AAATAAATAAATAAATAAATAAATAAATAAATAAATAAATAAATAAAATAAACCTATAAATGTGATCATGTCACATAAAGTGACATGATCACATAGAACTTGATACACACACATATACTTGAGTCAGGATCAGTTTCCCGCTGGTCTCGCTATCCTCTGTCTCCACGTAATGTCACCAGTAGGGGATTCTAAACAACGTGCAAAGGTATATATTTTTTTTATTATTATATCTTATGGCTGCAGGTGTACCTACAGTTATCTAACAATTCAGGTTAAAAGGGGAAATAAGAGGCAGTTGTAAGAATAGCCTTGATGAAACAGTAATGTCTTTAACTTTATTGAATCTCAGCACTTGAGATTAGATTTTAGCATTCTGTGTGACATGGTGAATGGCATGGTGCATCCTGAAGCATGGTGGGTGTTTGAGAAGAAAATGCTTCTACGGATGCATGAAATACCCTTGAACCAGCTGCCATTTTTATAAAATACAATTTTCATTTGAAGAAAGGAAAACTGCTTTTTTGGACTTGGGTATTTAGCCAGCATTTTCTTTTCTTTTTTTCCCCAAATTTTTTTTTTTATTAATTACAGTTTATTCACTTTGTATCCCAGCTGTAGCACCCTCCCTTATGCCCTCCCAACCTCCACCCACCCTCCCTCATCTCCTCCCTGCCCCTCTCTAAGTCCACTGATTGGGAAGGTCCTCCTCCCCTTCCATCTGACCCTAGTCTATCAGGTCTCATCAGGGCTGGCTGCATTGTCTTCCTCTGTAGCCTGATAAGGCTGCTCCTCCCTTGGGTTGGGGGAGAGGGGGAGGAGGAGGAGGTCAAAGAGCCAGCCACTGAGTTCGTGTCAGAGACAATCCCTGCCCCCCTTATTTTCCTAAAGTTAGTTACATGAGTCTATTAACCCGGTCCAACAAGAATTACTCACTCCCTGTGATAAAGTCAAATTAGGAAAGAAAATAGAAATTAAGAAAACCAGTGTCTGCCATCACGAGCTTGACAGTTACCCAGTGCTGAAAGAGTCCTCTCTGATGAGACTGTGGTATAAAAGGTGTGATGGTGTGGAATGGCTCTATATTTGGAGAATCTGTATAGCTTGATAAACCAACTGTTAACAAATATGCAGTGTAATAAGAGCGTGCATAAGCATATAGGTAAGAATTTAGTGGTGGATATAGCGCTCATCAATGAAGCTTCAAACGACGCATCGAAGCACATACCGGGCACTGTCGTGGGGCGTTTCAAAGATATCCACGGTTGTCTGAGATGCTTAGATGCTTGTCTCTTTTCTAAGCTCTATGCTATGAAGACAGACCACAGCTTCTATCATATATGTAAACCAAAATAACATACTGCAGCAGATTGATGACAGAAGCAGATGTGAGAATCCACTGTCTTCTAAGCCAGATTAAAGAGATTTGCAAAAACAGAAAACAATGCCACTCTAAATATTTGTGTTTGGGAAATATAAGGTTTCTTTTATTTTTTTAAAAAATACGTGATTTTTTTAAATTTTTTATTAGTTACAGTTTATTCACTTTGTATCCCCCATAAATAAAAAAAATATAAACTAAATGTGAAATACAAGTTACAAATTTCTAAAAGGCACAGGATAGTCTGTATGATATGGTGCCAAAGGCATTATTCATGAAAGAAAGAATAAGCTGAACTCCATTAAAATTAAAATTTCCCCAATGCAAGAGACAATATAAAAAGACAAGCCTTAGGCTGAGGAAAAATACCTGCAAGAGACATTTCTTATTGAGTATATAAAACACAAAGGCTCCTAAAACCAGAAATAAATAAGATAGAAAACCAGTGTAAAAGTTGACCAACAACCCTGACCATCACCTGAGAAGATGTAAAGGTGATGAGCAAATAAAAAATGCTCTTGTCACAAATTATCTAAGAAATTAAAAAAATACATGATTTATATCAATAAATAATTTTAAATGTATTTTATGTAAAAATAAAATAAAAACATTTTTTGGTAAACATATAGTTTAAAATTTCATTTTATTAATGAGTTTTTCACTTTTTTTAAACTTTTATTAATTACACTTTATTCACTTTGTATCCCCCCATAAACCCCTCCCTCCTCCCCTGCTAATTCCATCTTCCCTCTCCCTTCTTCACACATGCCCCTCCCCAAGTCCACTGATAGGGGAGGTCCTTCTCTCCTTCCTTCTGATCTTAGTCTATTAGATCACATCAGGAGTGGCTGCATTGTCATCTTCTGTGGCCTGGTAAGGCTGCTCCCCCCTCAGGGGGAGGTGATCAAAGAGGAGGCCAATCAGTTTATTATTAATGAATTTTAAAAGCAAATTCATGTACTCTCAGTTTTAATTTCTAACAGAGACTCTCTTTGGAGTCCTCACTGTGAGGTCCTGACATCATTAAGAGCTGGATGCAGGGTAGAAGCAGGGTCTTTGTAAAAGGGACTTTGCTTTGCTTTGTGCCTCATGAACTTGTGTAAATAAATAAATATTCCCTGTAAATAAAACAGATGGAGCACTATTCCCCACTTTAGAGAACGGGGATGAGGGTGGACAGTAGCACTTGGCAATAAATGTTGGTGGGTGCCGATTCTGTTACCAGGGTTACTGCAGCCTTGGTGGTGGTGGCGCTTTCCAGGGTCTAAATGAAACTCACTCTTCCCTTCATAGGATGGAACAGAGCTGCAGGTGTTTGTGGCTGAAGTTGCACAACAAATAGTCGGCATTGCAGTGATCAGAAAAGAAATGGTGAGTTGCGAACGAGGCGGCCCCCCTTGATTGTGATGTTTTATTTCATGAATCAGCCAGCATACAGTGCCTCTTTGAGGTTTCATTGCTTTGACCTAACGGGAATGAATCCTTTCCCTAGAATATATGGTCAGGAACGGGTCTTCCATGTGGCACCCTTTCATGTCTCTCTCCTAAATTAAAAAGGTCTGGATTTTCTGGGTATTGTGGCACATGCCTTTAATCTCAGCACTCTTGAGGTCGAGGCCAGCCTGGATTACATAGTGAGTTCCAGGACAGCCAGCACTACATAGTGGTCTCTGTCATGAAAAATAAACAAAACCACACACACACACACACACACACACACACTTCAAATACTACAAAGACCATGAAAAGATTCTCATCCTTAAAATTCTAATAACTTGCCACCATCCAATAATGATAATGAAAGTCAGTCCCATTGCTGTCACCAAAGGTTTACTAGGTGTGTGTGTGTGTGTGTGTGTGTGTGTGTGTGTGTCCTAGAACCTCAAATCCTGCCAGTGTGTCTCGGTCTCCTTCTGCTGCTTCTGGATCAAGATGCCCTCAGCTCCCTCTCCAGCACCACGCCTGCGTACATGTTGCCATGCTCCCTGCCATGATGATAATAGACTGAAGCTCTGGAACTGTCCGCCAGCCCCAGTTAAATGTTTCCCTTTTAAGAGTTACTGTGGTCATGGTGTCTCTTCACATGAATAGTAACCCTAGCTAAGCCAGCCTGTGAAAAAGATAGAGTAGTTCTTGGGGATCTCAGTTAGTTACATAAAGGTGGGTTGTTATAGAAAGAATGAGAGAACCCCTTCTCTCCTCTTTCAAAGTATCATATAACGGCCTCTCTCTCTCATATGTGTTCATGCTATCACGCACTCTGCCTGGAGGCCTTTACCAGAGCCCAGAACAACATGGTGCACATCTAGTCTCCAAAACACTAGACTATGTAAACCTCTTTTTATGTACAAAACTCTTTTTATGTATGTATGTATGTATGTATAAGGAGGTTATGCATATAAAGAGGTATATATATATGTGTAGGTATATATACATATATATGTATACATACACATATGTATTCATATACACATATGTAAAAAAGGTTGGGTATTATATATATATATATATATATATATATACACACATATATATGGTACTGTGTGTGTGTATGTGTATGTGTCTGTGTACAAACATGTATTACCCAACCTTGGATAAATTTTTTTAGTAGTAATGAAAATGAACTAATGCAAACAGACACTTCCTGCCCTCCAGGCCTACCAGCTGCCTTTTCCTGCTTTACTCTGGTCCTGTGAGCCTGATTGAACTGACAGCGGTGCATGTCTATGGCCTTTGCTCTTCTGTTTGGTTTGACCAAAGAGAGGCCTTGAGGAGGAGGGAGGACAGTGAGGCTGGGTGAGATCACCACTGAGCTTTTCCGATGGCCTTTTCTCCAGGATGTTCTCTTTGTGGAGTCCTTGACCAGTCTTCCATCTCCTCCACTCACTGAGGTCACTCCCGGCCTGCAGTTGCTATCTCACTGTCCCTGCTGATTTCTCTAACCTTCCCCATCCTGTAACTACTCCCTTGGTTGAGCCTACCTACAATTATCCTAATCTATCTCCTGCTCTCATCCCTTCCCAGCATGCTCTAAGATATTTATGATTTTTCCTATGTATTTTTAAAGTTTTCTAGACACCTTTATTTAACTTCTAAATACTAATTTTAGAATATTGGAAGACCATGATTGTTTATTTTGACCCTGTATTCAGTAACCCTTCTAAAGTCTCTTTTCACTGTGAGAGTTTGAAAATTGAACCCCCCCCCCCCTCAGCCACTGCATCACTTTCAGGACATTCCATGCAGAACAGTTAGAAGCCATGATCAGATTCAAAGGACAGAGCTGTGTACTCTGCCTATCAGAGAGACAGAGACACAGACACAGAGAGAGACACTCACAGAGAGGCTGACTTTGTAGAAATCATTATGGTGGCTCTCCTGGCTCCTTCCCGTTCCACCCTCTTGAAGCCTAAGGCAGCTCACAGTTGCTACATAGCGAAACATGAGCTTGACCTTCCCACCCAAGTGCTGGGATTACAGATGTGACCGCTATGCCTGGCTTTATGCTGAGATTACAGATGTGACCGCTATGCCTGGCTTTATGCCTGATTTTTTTTGTCTTTTGTCAGTTTGATTGCATAGACAGAGCAACAGTAAGTGGTAGTGCTGATAAGGCTGCTTTTTATTTGTCTTTATTTTAATGTGATAATTCTATATTTTTCTTCATTAACCTACTTGTAGGTTTTAAGGAGATACCAAATTAAAGAAGCCTTATACTTTTCAGTTATTGATGGTTTCTTTGATGGATAGGTATTTATTTTCTTGATAGGTTTTTGGAGTTTTCTGGATGTTTATAAGGATTTATTCTTTTATTCTTCCTTGATTTTAGTTCTCTTTTTGATTCAAAGTGTCTGGGTCGTACTTTTGGATGGTGGCATATCTGAGTCTACCCATCCATTTTGTCCTCGTGTTAGATACTTAATTGATGGTGATAAAATTCTTGAAGTTTTTACCCTCAGAATTTGAACTGTCACTGTCTCTAGTGTCAAGTGTCGCTGATAAAATCTAACTGGAGGACAACCCCATCCTTAACCCTTTGCAAACAGAAGTGGATTGATTTGCTCTTCTTGGGTCTTTTCGGGAGTGTTTGTCTTATTTGTTTTGCTTTTGAAGAGATATTTTGTTTTGTTTTTGGACGGTTGCTTTTTGTTTGTTTGCTTGCTTATTGTAGATACCTTGAGATTTTATCAAGGAATTCTTGCTTTATGCCTCCGAGGGAAGCATTCTTCTGTTAATCATTTCTTGCTCTCTATTTTCTTCCGTCTCTTATGAAGCTCTGCTTTCGATGGGGTCAGGATCTTCTGAATTGACCCTTTGGCATCTCTTGATAGTAGGAGTTACAGGTCGGCAGACTGATGATGATTTTAGTCATCCCTTGGAGATACTTCCTTCACATTACTTTCATGCCTCTAATTCAGTCTTTGACCGTGATTTTAATATTGTTCAGGTCTCCTACCGGACTCTTTGTCTCAGAGGTGCTATAATTAACTTCCCTTGTTCACTTACAGTTTCTTCTTGATATCAAATTATGTTAAAAGCAAGATTTCTCTTGGGAACCTGTCGGGGCATTATATTGACATTTAAAAATTCTGCCCTGTCCTCTTTATTATCACTTTCCTCACTGTAGCAAGTCGGATGTCTCTCTGCTTTAGTAGTAATTTAGTGTTCTCACAAGTCTCTCCATGTCTTGCCTGACAGATTAAATTGCCAGTGTGGGTGGTTAGCTGGGTTGATTGTCCACCTCCTCTCTGCCACTGCTGGCAGGGCTACCCATGTGTCCAACTGGGAGGTGCAGCCATTCTTTTACTTCTATGCTTAAATGTAGTAGCAGGAAACAGGCGGGGACCCCGCTGTGGACCAAGGTGGGAAAGGCTTAATCAGCCATAAAGTTTCCTTTCAAGGTAACATCGCCTTACATTTTTGCCTCACTTCCACCCCATTGTTCTTTAGAAAATTTATTGTTATTTTAAGGGATTTAAGATGAGAGAAAAATTAGATGTATGTAGGCCATGTGCTGTTTTGGCTCTCCACTTTTTAACTTTTCTGTGATTTCTCAGTCTTGCCTATATCACTCTGTTTTATCTTATGATGTGCAATGTTGCCTTGGTAAGTAAAGTTTTGTGGTATGAAAGCCTCTACACGGTCAGTGAAGATTGAACGGCTCTCCGGATGGCTGTGGGGTAGCACCACTGGCTGGGTGATTGCAAACCCATTTCTGCTGTACTTGGGAACAGCAGCTGGTCACTAGTGGGGTAGGAGAGGCAATGCTTGGTTGCAGATTGACAAGCTTGCTGCTGCCAGCCTTGCTGGCCACACAATAAGTCAAGTTCTTTAATTCTTCAGCCTCTGCTCTTGCTCCAGCTGCATTTGGGTTAATTTTTCCTTTGATGGGACTGTTATTTATACTGTGTTTGAATTTGCATTCTGTGGGTTTACAGTAGAGTCTTGCAAGCCATACTTGTCAAAAATCAATTTTCCTGTCATCAGGAACAGTCACATACACTCTGGATCATTCTGCCTTTTTCTGTGCTCTCAACAGTGTGCACTGGAGAGATAAAGGAGGCTAGGCTGCACCACTACGCAGTTAGCGTGCAAGCCCTGATTCCACTGTAGTGTGAGGAGACACAAAGGCCCTTGAAGTCCAGAGCGGTGTACCCAGGATTTCCCTGGGTACTCACGAGCCCCTTAAGTTATCCCCCATCACATAAACCTGTTACCCATCACAGGAACAGAGTTCTTTCTTCACAGCCCAGTCACGTGCTAAGCGGTGTCACTCGGAGACAGGACATTTCCACACTAGCAGGTGATCAGTAACACTAGTGAGTTTGTCTACTGACCCTCAGATAACCTGTGCCAAGTCCCTTGTGCTGGCTCACTCTTGCTCCTCATGCCCAGAAATATGATGGAACTGCTCTGCTGTGCCATGCCTGACCAGGCATCCAAGACTCGCCATGGTGACGAGCCAAAGGCATAAGGAATAAATCCATGTAGCTGTTGTCTTAGTTAGGGTTTTATTGCTGTGAAGAGGCCCCAAGACTATGTAAACTCTTATAAGGGGGAACATTTAATTGAGGCTGTCTTAGAGTTTCAGAGGTTTAGTCCATTATTGTCATGGCAGGAAACACGGCAGCATGCAGGCAGACATGGGGCTGGAGAAAAAGCTGAGAGTTCTCCATCCAGATGGACAGGCATCAGGCGGTAAACTGGTTTGAACTTCTGAGACCTCAAAGCCCACCCCCTCACCACTAACCACCTCAACAAGGCCACACCTCCCCCAACAAGGCCACACCCCCCAACAAGGCCACGCCTCCTAATAGTACACTCCCTGTGGGCCTATGGGGGACATTTATTTTCAAACCACACAGCCATCTTCCCCAGACAGGCCACCAGAACAGGTACGTGCTTTTTACTTTAAAAGAACCTGTAAACCAAGCATGGCAGTGTGCATAAACCTGTAATCCCACACCCAGGAGGCTGAGGAAGGGGGATCACTAGTTCTAGGCCAGCCTTGGTTACAGAGTGAGTTCAGGGTGAACCTAAGCCACCTAGGGAGACTGTGTCTCAACAACCAAGGGCTGCAGACAGAGCTCAGGGGTAGAACACTTGCCAAGCATGCTCAAGACTCTCAATTCAACCCCCAACACTGAAAAAAGAATTAAAGACAAGATGAGGAACAATGGAAGAAACAAACATATTTCTCTTACTGCACTATTTGTACGTGTGTGTGTGTGTGTGTGTGTGTGTGTTTTCGTGTGTTTGTGTTTGCTTGCTTGCTTATCCACGTGGGTGCATGTGTGTGTGCATGCATGGGGTAGCCAAAGGTTATTTCTCAGGAACAGTCTGCCTTGTCTTTTGAGAGAGGGCCTCCCATTGATCTGACATTTTCTGAGTAAGTAGGTAGGTAGGCTGGCTAGTGAGCTCTAGGAATCCTCCTGTCTCCATCTCCCCAGACTGGGATTACAGTCTATGCCACCATACCAGGCTTTTTGCATGGGTTCTGGGGTACCAACTAAGGTCCTTATGCTTGCATGACACAAACTTTACCAAGTAAGCTATTCCCCAGCCCCACCTGTTTCTCTCAGGTGATTGTCTGTTTCTCTCAACATGTATGCATATAATCTGCTTAAAACATCCTTTCTCACCTGGGTGAAGTGGCACATGCCTGTAATCCCAGCACTTTCGGAGGCAGAGGCAGGTATATTTCTGTGAGTCTGAGGCCAGCCAGGTCTACAGAGTGAATCCAGGACAGCCAAGGCTCCACAGAGAAGCCCTGTCTCAAAATTAAAAAAAATAAAATAAAAAATAAACAACCAAACAAGCAAGCAAACAAACAAACAAAAACAAAACAAAATCACTATCCTTTCTCTGCCTCTTCTCTAGGATATAGAGTACATACGATCTCATTATAACATTGAGGATTTCATCTACTTCAGCCACCATCAGCAAGAAGAACATGGGCGCTTGAACCATTTTGCCCTCAACCCTATTTTTCGACACTATACCAAGTTTTTCCTAAAGGAGATTCTTCGATTAGGCTATAAGTCATGCCTCTACTACCCTGTCTACCCACAGTGCCGGGAAGGCAAGGTAAGTGGCTGGCTCGGCTTTCCCCTCAGGCACATCTGTGTGTGCCACACCCTGTTTGCTCCTCTCCATATGGCTCACTATAGCATGTACCTGAGTCTCCACTCGCCATATTTGATTAGGCCACTTGCTTCACTGCGGTGAATGTCCAAGAGGCTCCCACTTGCTGAAACAATCAGAAACAATGTAATCGAACAAATTTGTCTGCGTTTCTAGATCAACAAAATGACAACTGAAAGCTATAGGAAAACATCACTGTAAGAGACAAGAACAGCACAGCATTTCTCATGGTGTAAACAAAGCCAAGAGGAAGCTATCATGTTCTTGGAAACAGAGAACCCTATAGAAATGAGTAGAATAAATTAGTTCCATCCTGTAAAATTGGTGTGCTATCCACTGCATTCCAAATGAAATTTATAACCATTTCCACAAAAATAATGGACGAAAGGAAGAGATGTACAGTTCTGACAGAACTCTGCCATAGGGAATACCTCTATAATCCCACCTGACACTTGCTACACTTCCAAAGGGTAACACAGTAATAGAGACAGTACCGTGCATCTGTTGTATCTCCCCACCCCAAATGCCAGCTCAGATCACCTCCACATCCTCCTCTCGCCCTGCTTTAGTGATCTTGAGGGCGCATTTGGCCATGCATGCTGTGAATTTGCCTTTTATTTCACAGGCTGGAGCCTCAGTTCCCAGGAGTGTGATATATGCATGCAAACACCTCACATGCTCACGAGCTGTGTCCTGTGTGTTCCACAAGTCCGTTCAAGCCCAATTCCCGAGGGGTTGTCTCACAGTCATTGACATTGGTCCCCTTGGTGTGGACTCTGAAGGTGATGGGTTTCGACTATCAGGCTGAGGAGACGTTGTCCCTTCAGTTTCTGGTCATGACCTCAAGCTTTGCCACGTTCTCTTGTTCTGCCAAGAGCCCTTGACACTGTCACATTTTTCCGTGGTGTCCACGAGGAGCTAAGTGGAATTTCAGGTGCTCTTACGCGTCAAAGTATTTCTTAGACAGTCTGTAGGTGCGTTAGCACACACACCTGTACTAGCTGTGCCTATGGATCGCTTTAAACAAAACAGCTGCAGGAGCACCTATGGGAAAGAAGGAAGAGCAACTCGGAAAGGAGTTTTCATGAGACAGGGACTCCTGCTTCAGTGAGGTTTGGTTTGGGTTTGGCATGGTGTTTGTTTCCCCTGTAGAATGTAGCAGGACAGCAGCATGATTAATGACACGGAAGAAAACAGCTGTAGAGGAAAACCCTGGACCCGAACAATCTCCTTCACTTTACACTTGACTGAGTACCAACTGTGTGGCCTTCCAGGTGTGAGATTAAATTCTTGGTTTCTATTTACCATGCTGCCTGGATGTGCCAGATGAGGGCAAAGCTGATCTGCATCTGTAGTAAAGACATCTTGGGCGTTTATTTCACTGTACCAGTGTCTGCTTCCCGAGCAGTGGGGGGGGGGGGGGGGGGGCGTGCTGCTTGTAAGGCATGGAACACATTTGGGAACAGGTTTCCTTAGTCATGCTGCCAGCTGATTCACTCACACACATGAAAAAACAAGAGCAAGAAGCTGTTCCAAGTCACTGGAGAGAGAATTCCCCAGCCCCGCCCCAAGTCCTCTAACAGTGAAGTGGAGCCACTTGGATCTCAGTGGCTCTCTTTACCTCCTGTGAGGACCTGCATCAGGACACAGACTGTGGTTCTCCACCTGAGGCTCAACCCCCGAGGGAGATGCATATCAGATACCCTGCACATCACAGATTTCCATTACCATTCATAAGAGTGGCAAAATCACAGTTATGAAATAGCAACCAACTAATTTTGTGGTTGGTGGGGGTCCACCACAACATGAGGAACTATATTGAAGGGTCGAAGCATGAGGAAGGTTGAGGAGCATGGACATAGATGTTCATAGACATGAAACCAGCACTCTGGCCAGGGCTTCCTGGGTTCTGTTTTTCAGTCGTGTGAAGTAGGAGCGTGAGGAATAATGGTGAAGGATTCTAGAAAGCTTTCCTGGCAGCTTGTAGAGATGTCCATGGCTACTTTTAAAGCAGAGCGTGTGTCATACACAAACCCTTCTATCTATTAAAGTACGATTAACATTCTGCTTCACTTTTTTGCTCTCTGACTTCAGTTTGGTAAGTAGATACATCATTGCCAGCCTGGCTTTTCACAGTTTTACACTTGAGGTTGAAATGATTTCTTGGCCCCAAGTTGTGTTTTGATTTTGTTTTTTTAATTTCTAAGATTTCATAAATGTCAGAGTCACCTTTCTCTGACAAGTTTTAAAAACCAGCTAAAATTAATATTTAAAGCATTGTTGTAAAAATGATTTATTATCTATTTCAACAAGCATAAATACAGCTCACAACTTAGTCATAATGCAAATCAAAATCATTTGGTCCTCTTCTCCTATCTCCACTTTCCAGTTTTATTCTTTCATAAGACCCTCATTTAAAAAAAAAATAAAACAAACCCAAGTGACGTTGCGGGAGTGCTTCCACATCTGGGCTAAGTTGCCCCCCGATGGCATTTTTATCTGCATTCATTAAAGCAGCTTGTGCCAGACACACAAAGGTTAACAGGACTCAGATAACACAGCTTAATGGGGTCAAATCAAGCTGATTCATGATCACTGTGGAGAAGAATATTCTCCTGGGGGAAATACTTGTACTGAAAAATCCCATAAACCAAACCACTTGTTTATCTGTCATTCCCACAGAGATAGTAATGTAATTACTCTCATAATTATCTTCATTAGTGTCAGGCATTATCTACAATTCATTCCTCTGCTCGAAGAGTATGTTTGTTTATTTGCTGATTTTTTTTCCTCCCCTCTCTGACTTGGCCGAGCTAAGAGTTTTGTATTTGTCAAGCAGCACGCAGACATCTGTGCCGCGCCCCTGACATTCTCCCCCGCTGAAACAGAGATCGCTGTCTTTCAGCTCCAGAGCTCTCACTCCCACTCCCTGACATCTGCCCTTCATTACTTGGTTCCCGTGCGACCACGACGACAGATTGTCTATCCTCTGGAAAAGCTTGGCATAAACGCTCCATCAAAGGAGGTCTCCAAGGATCAGGTGGGTAGCAGGGCGGCAGGCAGGGAGGCATGGTGCCAGCTCCCACAGGCTTGGCAGATGGGGTGGCAGCCCTGTCTTCACTGAGCAGGCTGCTTCTTAATTACAGGGAACCTGGCGCTCAGACCCTTACAGGCGAAGCCTTGCCCTCAAGTGGTTATTTCACAGTAGGCCTAAGACAGTAGCCACATCCCTCTTCAGAGGAGATAGCAGGGACACAGTGCATGTTGTTGCTGGTCCCTGGACACATGAGTGGCCTAGAGCCACGTCCACCTAGCATATTTCTGTCTCTTTTCCATGCCCTCAAAAAAGAAGAATCCCCTTCTATTGACTGTTTGCTTTTAAGTCAGCCAGTGGTCTTTTTGCTGCTAGGACAAAGCCACAGAAAAATGTCATGCTGGAGATGTTTGGGTCTTGAGCTGTTATTTTGTTTTGTTGTTTGTTTTGTTTTTAACACGCACACACACAAACTCCTGTGGGAAGTCAAAAGGGGTAACGGCCTTGCTCATTTTACCTGCCTTGAGGTAAAAGGTTACCCTGGGATACCTCTGTGACCAGACAAGAAAAGGGGCTGGAACCTGTGTGTTCATGGATGTGAACACACAGCTCTTGTGTGTGTGTGTGTGTGTGTGTGTGTGTGTGTGTGTGTGTGTGTGTGGTTGTAGTAATGTAAGTGGAAAAACATAGTCATGTTAACTTAACCAACTTGTAGGCTTTCAGTGTGCTGGGTACTTTGAGTTTAAAAACAAAATATCTTGGTGATTAAGATTTGCCCTTCCTGAAAGCTAAAAGGGAAAGGGAAAATTTAAGTGTTTAAAACATCGTGTCTGGGGGTTGGAGTCTATAAGTTGCTTCTCAGAGTTGAGGAAATTCCTCAGCCTCAGCACCGAGGGAAGGTGTGAACACCAAGCCCCCAGCTCGGCTTCACATGGGGTAGGGACTGCTCAGACCGAGCGTAGAGGCCGCTTCAAGTCTTACCTGATCCTTCTGTTGGTAAAGTAACAAAATTTATATTTATCTTCTAGCAATTACAAATTTATATTTGAGGAGAGACTGAAAATGAACAGCAATTTGTTTTTTTGTTTTTTTTTGTTTGTTTGTTTGTTTTACTTTTTTGTTACGGAAGGTGGCAAGCAGATATAATTATATAGATGGCAGTTGTCTACCGCGCCCCTGTGAGGAGAGACCTTTCCCTTACTGTTCTTTTAATATGTTCAATCTGTCATAGTTTTAACAAAATTTTAGTTCCTGGGAAACCGAGATTCAAAAAAGCAAGGATGGACAAAATCCGAGTTCAGAAATGTTACTATTAGATTTCACAGACATAGAATTACTCTGCCAAATCTCTGTAGAAGCTTTCATACGTCTAGGTCTTCATAGACCAGATTAGTTCACACATGGCTTTTTATTCCAAACCACACCTTGAGAACTGAAGTCTCCATCTCCTCAGTACCTGGGGGCAAGTACCTGATTTTCTATTCTTGGCCAGTTTGGGATCTTTCTTCTCCTCACATACTTCCCCTTCCTCCAGAGTCATTTTGAAGCAAACCCGGGGCATATTCTTAGCGTCTGTAAAGGTAAGATATGCATGGGCCCACGTGGAGGACAAGGGGGCCTGTTTCATGTGGACATCCTAGAACTAGACATCCAAATTGGGGCAAAGATAGTGTTTCTGAGTCAGAGATAGTTGCTACATGGTGTATCTGCTGTCTCTGAAGCAGCTTCCATGGGTCGTACTGATCAGGGGGGATGGGGCCTCAGGAGGCGGGATCTCATCTCGTGATGCTTTGTAGCTTGTGTATCAGGTCCAATAAAGATGAAATACCTTCATATAGACAGGGCTGGGCCAAGAGAAGGCCTTGTGCTTTAGGGAGGCTCCCATGACTTCAGCCAACACGCTTATGGAATGAGCAGGAGTGCTTGAGGCATACTGAGCTGCTGCACGGAGCATGAACATGTTGTTCCAAACATGCAAGACGAACCTGCCTCTGAGAACCTCTGGAACTGGACCACACTGAGATACACTGCAGCTCCAGGTGGAGAGAAAGTCAGAGAAAACATTTTATTTCATTAAAAACAGATGATTCTAGCATTACTTCCCAGGTTGGTGTGATTTGAAATCATTGCTTATGCTTGCTAACCCTTTTCCTGCTCATGTCAGGATGTGTGACTCCTTCTCTTTCTAAAGTCCTGGTGCACGTTGAGGCCCGATGGAGAGTGAGTTTAAACCTGGGGTCCAGGAAGAAAAGCAGTCACTGGGCTGGTGAGAAAAACAGCGGAGCGGATGTTGGCTTGCTACACCGTGCTGCGGTGTTTACAGTGCTGGTGGCGCCGACTGTGTAAGAAATGCCTCTCCCGTTACTGGGTCCTAACACAGGGTTTTAGTGAGATTAAGATTCAGCAAGACGTTGGGAAAGTAAGTTGGTGGCCGTTAGCCTATACAGTTCCTGTATAGATCGTCAGCTTTGCATAAAACAAAGAGCTGTGAATGTTTCAGGACCCATGAATAGTGTCTGGGCTGGCGCCACTTGTCCAGAGTGTGAAGCCTTCTGTTTGATCCCCAGTACTGCCACAGACAAACCACACAGCAGCAACACAAGACTTGAGTGCCATTTTGGAAAACAGTAAAGGTCCAATCAAAGGTTCAGCAACATTGTAACTCACATAGAATATTCACAACCTGAGTTGCTGATTTCTATCATTTAAAGTTGTTTTTCTCTTAAAAAAAAAAACATTTTAAGTGAGTTTAACCTTTTGAACAACTGTCTGAAATAAGTTGAGGCTAATAGGATTGTTTGGGGAGGAATTTCGGTGTGGTCCTAGTACGCCCCTGTTTGAGAAGAGTGACAGAACCCCGGCAGTTGAACCGTGTCGGGCTGAGTGATCACCACCTCTCACAGACTTCCATTTACCCTGTGAGTCTCACATCCCTCTGCCACACGCATCAGCTTCCACACCTCACTGGTGTCGTTTCTCTCCTGCCACTTGCTTTTCATGCCTTTTATCTTGTTTGGAGCATCTCTCACTTTCACCTAAGAAGCCGGTCTTCAAGGGGACAGATCACTCCAGGCATGAATAATGGGATAGAATGCGTTTCATCTCGGTGGGCTGCCAATTTGAATCTGGCACAGGGCATCGGTGATTCAAATTCATCACTGCGTGGTCAGGCAACGCGCCCTCCCCTTCTCAGCCTCCCCTCCCCACTCTGCTACAGAGCTTCTGTCTGGTTTGGGCGTGCACCTTTCCAGTGGCTTCTATTAATAGACACCTCACTGCAGAGCAGGTCATAGGAAATGCATTCATCTTCATCACACCTTGTAGAAGCTGACCCCCAAGAGTCACAATAATATTTCTATAGCTGACCATAGGAATTTATGAATAAGAGAGAAGGCTTTTCCTGGCCAAGGCCGTCATCCACGCCACAGGCCTGGAAGGTTCTTTATTCGGTTTGAACGAGCCATCCTGGCCTGTGCACATATATTCTAAGCTCTTGTCATGGAAAATTTCATTTAGATGGGGCATCAGAGCGCGCCGTTGTGAGCAGTGTGATCCTGAGAAGTACTCCAGATTCACCTGAATTTTTTGTGCAGACAAACTAACTAAAGATTGGAGCGAGCTGCCTTTGACTTACTTTGGAGGTCTGTGGAGAATCTTGATTTTTTTTTCCCTCTCCTGTCTGTACCCTAGAGGGATTTTTGAGTTGACTGTGTTACTGCCATTACTCTTGGGCAAGATGCCAGTATATCTAACAGTATATTAATTTTTTATTTAATGTATTTCTTTTACGTGTTTGAGTGTTTTGCCTGTACATGTGTCACCATATGCTTGCAGTACCCGCAAAAGCCAAAAGAGAGCGCTGGATCCCCGGGAGTGGAGTTACAAACAGGCATGAGAGGCTGGGAAACTTAACCAGGTCCTCAGAGCCGTCTGCCCTGCCCCTCACTTACAGCCTGTCTACAGCGGTAGACAGGGAGGGGGTAGAAGAACTGGGACTCACAGTAGGACTGCACTGAAGAATTCCTGGGGTGCCTGTGCTTTGTGTCCCCTGTACTTCCTGTGCTTCCCCTTGGGGTGCGTAACAGTTATTTATAATATAATGCTAAACTCCAGAAATTTGCCTTAGGACCCACTGTCTTTATTATTCACTAAGGTTCTTACGGTCTGCTCTAATTATTTTATTCTGCACCTTGCTTGATTTGCAGTGGTCATACATGAAGGTATGCACTCCTCCCCCTCCTGAGAAATCGTACCTTCAGTGTGATCAGCTCTGAGGTTTGTTGTTGTTTTTCTGGTAATTAGTGGCAGTCTGCTGAAACGTGGACTAACTTCTTTGAAGGCCTCCATTTGTTTTTTCTACATCTCCCTTTGTCCTTCTGGGAGGAAAAATGGCGCATACCTAAGCCCCAGCCCCACCCCAGAGCTGCATGTTGGCCCGCCCTTTCCTGGTATGTGGTCTCAGGAAGATGTCACTGGCTGGCTTTCAGTTACCCTTTGAATTGCCCCTTTTCATCTGGGCTGCTCTTCCCCAGTCCAGCTATAATTACCATCTGATGGACGGTTACTGGATTCTGTTGCACTTAGGCATCTGCTGCCTTGGGAAATCGCATTATTCTCCCAGCACCTGCTAGGTTTTCAGACTGCCCTGGGCTGTAGTTGCGGTTGAAGTGTGTAGTATGGTTTTTTTCCTAAATTTTTTTAAACAAACAAACAAACAAAAATCCACACTTTCTTAGTTTGTCCTTGGGGGATGATTATAAAATTGTAAACTTGTGTTTTTTGGCATCATTCATCAATGCACTGATCATTATTAATATCATCACAAAGAAGCTTCCTCAACATGAAATTAAGTCACCTTCAGTCACTCCCGGGGTCTAGTTTGATCTTTCAGCCCCATTCTCAGCCACTTTCCACATGTTCATGCTCCTCATGGGAAACACATCTCCTTAGAGTAGTGGCGAGCCCTTTCCTCTGTGCCTTGTAGGAAATGAATTCCTTCACAGGCT